GGGAGCATCTGCCAAACGATCGGACCATTCACCACTCAAGTACGCGATTTCGCAAAAAGGCACTGCCCTCGCCCCATGCGAGTGAAGGAGCCTATCTCGCTGCAACAAGTCCACGACATGTCTGCCAGCTACCTGCAATCCGAGAACCGAAGAGAGTTCCAAAAGGGCCTAATCCCCATCCTCATGTACATCGGATTTTTAAGATACTCGGACCTCATCGTCATCGAGTGGCAAGACATCCAGTTCGAGAACGAGGTCATGTGGATTCTAATTCCGTACTCCAAGACGGACTAAGCTGGAAGAGGCACATGGATACCCATCGCCGCAACTCATGACCCCTTTTGCCCCGTCCGCTGCACCCAACGACTCATCCAACTTGCGGGGTACAACCAGCAATCCGCGGGGCCACTTATTCGAGTCTTTGGACACGGTTCACCCCAAAGTGGCCAAGCAAAGGCCGCCATCATACCCGACGATCCGAAACTGGTGCAAAGAAGCGTTCGGGAGGATCGGATTAGGAGAACAGCAGCTGGGCACTCACTCCTTTCGCTAAGGAGCAGCCACTGCCGCGACAAACACCGGTGTGCCAGACAGAATCTTCAAACGAGTGGGCAGATGGCGCAGCGGCACAGCGAAGGAGATGTACGTCACGCCCAACGCCGAACATCTCGTCAACGCCTCCCGTCAAATGCAAGATATGAGATACGCCTCTTCTTCAGCGCAGCATGCCGAGGCACTCGTCCGCCATAAAAAGCCCCCGCTGCCCATGTCTCAGAGACCCCAGTTGCAATGAGAACGATGCCAAATGATCAGTATAAGAAAGCAAGCTTTCTAAATATGATAATTTTTAAACACACGAAGTGTTTTTCAAAATTTCGTATTTCGAAAGCGCAGCTGCCTGTAACGCAGATTTGGCATTGTCGAAGCGCGCTAAACGCCCTTCTCCATCTTAACCTTCTGACCATCAGGGACCTTATGCTCCTTTCCCCTTGGGAAATGGCCCTCCAACCACTAATAACATGACCCTCGGTGTAGAATGTGGAACAAATTATACGGTAGCTTGTATGGTGTTCGGCGGTTGAAATGTCAAATGTGTTGTGCACTTCAAATGGTTCGATGATCTCGACTAACTACACCGCAAGTGTCTGAACTTCATTTGAATACCTGGTGGGGAAGCTCAGTATGGCATGATGGTTAGACGACGTTTTGTTTTGTTTTTTGTTTGTTTGTTTTTTTTTTTTCAAACAAAAAGTCAATCTTGTCAGAATATTATCTTATTGTTCTAGCCTGTAGTGGGGTGCTCTATAGCGAGTACAACCCTTCTAGGGTTTGCTATTTGTATCCCCATTTCTGCTAGTTCAATCCTCTTTCTTCCTTCAATTTTGTCATGCTATCAGAGCAGGTCGATCCCCTTGGATCGAACCTGTGGGTGGGTTACCACCTCGCTTCCGCTGCTACCTTTCCTTCCCGCCGTGCGCCCCGTGGCGCGCGGCGGTTTTCCTTCCCGCCGTGCGCCCCGAGGCGCGCGGCGGTTTTCTGCCCGCCGTGCGCCCCGTGGCGCGCGGCGGTTCTCTGCCCGCTGTGCGCCCCGAGGCGCGCGGCGGGCGTCCGCCCCGACCGTCGCGGCCCCGCCCTCGTCGCGGCCCCGCCCTACGTCGCGGCCCCGCCCTCGTCGCGGCCCCGCCCTACGTCGCGGCCCCGCCCCGACCCTTCGCGGCCCCGCCCGACCGTCGCGGCCCCGCCCTACGTCGCGGCCCCGCCCTCGTCGCGGCCCCGCCCTACGTCGCGGCCCCGCCCCGACCCTTCGCGGCCCCGCCCGACCGTCGCGGCCCCGCCCTGCGTCGCGGCCCCGCCCCTCGAAGCGGCCCTGCCCTACGTCGCGGCCCCGCCCCGACCGTCGCGGCCCCGCCCTACGTCGCGGCCCCGCCCTGTGTCGCGGCCCCGCCCCTCGAAGCGGCCCTGCCCGACCGTCGCGGCCCCGCCCCTCGTCGCGGCCCCGCCCCTCGTCGCGGCCCCGCCCCTTGTCGCGGCCCCGCCCTCCAACCAGGCCCGTGGTGGGCCCCTTTCACCACACCGCCCCCCCCCCCCCCCCCCCCCCCCCTCCCAAGCGGCCCCCTCAGGTCGCCTCGACGGACGACGGGAGGGGCGAGCTGTGGGGTGGCGGGTATGGGGGTGACCGGTGTACTCTCCTCCTCCTTCGTCTCCCACTGCTGCAGCTGTCGCCGAGGGGGGTGGTTGTGTGGGAGACTTGGGTTTAGGGTTTAAGGGGGGTGCGTGGGAGTGCAGCTAGCGGTGTAGCAGTGGGTGTGCATCAGGGGGGTGGGACTGTGTGCGGGAGGTTGAGTGGAGGTTGTCAGTTTGTCGTTCGCAGCACCTGTAGTCCGGGGCGCTGTCCCGGTAGCCCAGTCGTAGCCAGCTGTGCCAGCCGCCCGTGGGTCCGTTGCCCGTCTGCCGCTACTTGAGCCGCGGGGCCAGTTACTCCAGTAGTCCGGAGCGCTGTTCCGGTAGCCGCTGTACCAGTGTGCCTCCTGTTGCCCGTGTGCCTGCAGCTTCAGCCGTCGCCTCCTATCTCCTCTCCCCTCACTCTCTCTCCTCCTCCTGACTTGTCCGTTGTGACTACCACTAGCTCTGCTCATAATTGTGAACTCTAAACTATCTCTTCTTGAACTTGTGCTCAGAATGTGTGGTGACATTGTGATCCACCCTGAGCTTGTACTGCTTTGCCTGCTCTGCTGATTACACCCCACTTTGGCTATGGGGGTGTGTCAGAATATTATCTTATTGTTCTAGCCTGTAGTGCGGTGCTCTATAGCGAGTACAACCCTTCTAGGGTTTGCTATTTGTATCCCCATTTCTGCTAGTTCAATCCTCTTTCTTCCTTCAAACTTTGTCAAATCTGTAACTCCCCAACTGCACATTCGTATCCATACCGGTACGATGCGCAAACTGTTGATTTGTACCCAACATTTCTCAATAATTGATAAGCATGTACGTTGCTTGTCAAGCATGTACAGGTATGATACAACAAGTTGGATGTGCAGTGCATTATAGTGAAAGCCTGATCCCTTCCGCGCTGCCCTCATGCAAAAGAAACAATGATTGGGGTTTGGTGCGTGCAATCAGTGAGATTCAAAAACCTTACTTAAACTCTACCAACCAAATATTTGTTATCAGATCATGTCAGAATCCCAACCACTAGACCATTGGGACAAAAGGGCTTGTTTCAGTAGCGGGTCAGTGCGCCCATAACCCCCCAGGCGAACGCGCCTGTAACCCTCTCCAGGATCAATCGGGCATCCACAGTGCAGATCTACTGACAGATCACTCCAAACCAATTCACCGTATCATTTTTTTTTTAGAAACTCCTAGTTTTTCCATTGATGAACACATACAAAAAATATATCTTATTCACATCAAAATCATGTAAAATATCTCAATATCTGGCCACAATAAGGTGTTATGTGATGCTATCATTTGCATTCACGTCTGTCTGCCTCCCATCATATGTTCGTGCGTTGCATGCGTGGTGTGAGCGTGTGCAAGAATTTGTGTTTTGTGCGGTTTGGTTTTTCTGAGTGTGTGTGAATATTATTTGGCTTGAGCAGATATCTGAAGTGACTCCTCTGCTCAAAAGCTTTCCGACGAACCAAGTATCGCTTCAATCGGAGCACGAACAAGAAAGTTACGAACGTTGGAGTTCGTATGCTTTTCATATTTGATTGTGGCAACTGCGGGAAGTTGTGGGGTTGAAACAATATGGGGTACAGACTTTTGGGGGTTGGGGAATTCGTCTTTTCTACTTTAGTTCCTGCCAAATGGTTGGGAGAAACCAAACCAGGTTGGCAAGTGTGACCAAGTTGGGTTGAGGTGGATTGTGGAGGTTGGGATAGTGACAAAGGTCAAAGTTGGGTTGCCTATGGGGAAGGGAATTGTGTGGCATGGGGTTTCCTTGGTTGGGGACACTCTTGGGACCTTCCCTCTCATCCTACTCATCCCTTCCACCTGGTTTAGTGCCACTCAAACTCTCTTGTGTAGTAATTGTGAACTTGTGTGAGACTATTGTAATTGAGTTAAAACCCGCGTCTCATGATTTCTTCTGTATTACACTTGGTTGGGTGGGGGCACCTGGGATTGGTCCACGAGCAGCGAAATTCAGCACGAGAGGAAGGGTCATTCGCACGAAACCAGAACACTGTACAGACAACACCAAACCACACGCCCTAACCTTGGGAACACCCCAACCTGGTACAACACTGTTTTGTCAGCGAAAACACACCCTGCGACCCACCCATGCGACAAACAGAACCCCCCCCGCACGTGGGCGACGGGAATCACTTCTGATTACTAAAGTAGCACCAGTCACACCTCCCCAATACTACAATCATTACGGCAGACACCCGCCCCAGCCACTATCGTCATTAGAGTTCTACACCTCCCGAATACAGCTCTTTCGCACGTATAAAAGCTCGACGGAAATCTCGCTTCATTATTAGCAATGTCGCTCCACGCGCCTAATGGGGACGAGGCGGGTTCAAGGAAATGCGATGCCAAACGATCCGCCGTCGAAACCTCCCGTGAGTACAACAACGCGCCGTATTAGCGGTCGCGTATCCCCCCCCCCCCCCCCCCCCCCGAAAGTGTTCCGCGCATCAGCCTCCACGATTTCGCGCCTTCAACCCCACTGGCGCCAACACCGCGCTCCCCCGGGATCACTCTCTTATTCCCCACCGTCCCCCTACGCGCTTCCTCACAGCCTCAACTCCCCAGTCCCCTCGCAATCACTCCCCTTCCCCCGTCGCTGTCTCTCCCCTACCCCCTCACGAGCGTCCCCGTTTTCCCCCATACGCGCCGGCCCCCGCCCCCTCGCGATCACTCCCCTTCCTCGTCTCCATCCCTCCATTTCCCCACGCTAACACTCCCCTACCGTGTCGCGTTCACTTTCCCCCTCCTCCCAACCACTCCCCTTCCACGTCGCGCTCACCCCTTTCAAAGGGCTATCAATGCCCTGCCCATCGATAACTCCCCCTTTCCCCACTGCCAGCACTCCCCTCCCCTGTCCCTATCACTCCCCTGCCCCTCACGCGACCATTCCCCATTCCCCGTCACGATCACCCCCTCTCGCTGACACGTTCTTGCCCCTTCCCCCTCGCTCGCGTGCACGTTCCCCCCACCTGCGCGCCCTCCCCTTCCCACGTCACCAGCACGCCCCTTCCTCGTCATACTCTCTCCTTTTCCCCCTCCACGCGAGTGCCGCCCTCCCCCTCCCCTCCGCAAACACTATCCCGCTCCTTCGCTATCACTTCCTTCCCCCCTCGATAGCTCCCCCTGCCCCCGCCGCTAGCTCTCTCCTCCCCCACTGCTATCACTCCCCTTCCACGTCGCCCTCTCTCCCCTCCCCCCTCCACACTCGTCCCCCCCCCCCCCCCCCAACCTCACGCCTTCCCCTTCCCCTTTGCAAGGCACAATGCTTGCTCCTGAGCTATCTCTCCCTTTCCCCACTGCTAGCCATCTCCTTCCCCACTGCTATCACTCCCCGTCCGTCCCCAACACTACCCTTCCCCCTCGCGGCCATTCCCCTTCCCCCATCAATATCACTGCCCTTCACCGTCGCATTCTCACCCGCTCCCCCTCCACACTCGTGCCACCCCTCCCCCCCCCAATCGCCCGCCCTCCCCTTCCCCTTCGCCATCTCCTCCTTTCCCCCTCGCTAGCTCTCCCTAAGGCCCACCGCTAGCCATCTCCCTCCCCACTGCTATCTCTCCGTCCCCGTCCATCTCACTCCCCTTCCCCCACGCGGCCATTCCCCCTCCCCCGTCACGATCACCCCCGCACGATGTCGCGTTCTCTCCCCTACCCCCTCGCTTGCAGGCACGTTACCCCCACCTGCGCCACCGCCCCTTCCCTCGTTGATATCACTCCCCTTCACATCCGCATTCTCACCCCTGCCCCCTCCACACTCGTGGAGCCCCGAACCCCCCCCCCCCACCCCCGCCATCCACTGCTCGTCGCCTTTGCCTTCCCTCCCACCTCCCTTCCCAATAGCTTCCCCCCATCCGGTTTTCTGCTTCCCCCTCTCCCCTTCCCTCCTTCCCCATGTCCCCCCATCCTCTTCATTCTTTCCCCTTATCCCAATCCCTGCTTCCCCCCATCCGGTTCTCTCCATCCCCCACTCTCCTTCCCTGCTTCCCCATGTACCCTTCCCACCTTCCCCATGTCCCCTGCCCCATGAACCCCCATCCCCTGCCCTGCTTCCCCTAACCCCCTCCTTGCGTCCCCCCATCCTCTTCGTTCTTTCCCCTTATCCCAAGCTCTGCTTCCCCCCATCCGGTTTTCTGCATCCCCCCCTCCCCTGCCCTGCTTCCCCCCATCCCCTGCCCTGCTTCCCCCCATCCCCTGCCCTGCTCCCCCCCATCCCCTTCCCTGCTTCCCCCCATCAGATTCCCGCCTCGCCCCCATCCCCCTCCCTGCTCCCCCTCATCCCCCTCCCTGCTTCCCCCCATCCCCTGCCCTGCTACCCCCCATCCCCTTCCCTGCTTCCCCCCATGTCCCCTGCACTGCTACCCCCCATCCCCTGCCCTGCTTCCCCCCCTCCCCTTCTCTGCTTCCCCCCATCCCCTTTCCTGCTTCCCCCCATCCCCTGCCCTGCTTCCCCCCATGTCCCCTGCGTTGCTTCCCCCCATCCCCTGCCCTGCTTCCCCCCCTCCCCTTGCCTGCTTCCCCCCATCCCCTTGCCTGCTTCCCCCCATCCCCTTCCCTGCTTCCCCCCATCAGATTCCCGCCTCTCCCCCATCCCCATCCCTGCTCCCCCTCACCCCCCTCCCTGCTTCCCCCCATCCCCTGCCCTGCTTCCCCCCATGTCCCCTGCGCTGCTTCCCCTCATCCCCTGCCCTGCTTCCCCCCCTCCCCTTGCCTGCTTCCCCCCATCCCCTTCCCTGCTTCCCCCCATCAGATTCCCGCCTCGGCCCCATCCCCCTCCCTGCTCCCCCTCATCCCCCTGCCCTGCTTCCCCCCCTCCCCTTCCCTGCTTCCCGCCATCTCCTTCCCGGCTTCCCCCCCTCCCCTTCCCTGCTTCCCCCCATCCCCTTACCACCTTCCCCTTGTCCCCTGCCCTGCTTCCCCCCCTCCCCTGCCCTGCTTCCCCTCCTCCCCTTCCCTGCTTCCCCCCATCCCCTTTCCTGCTTCCCCCCATCCCCTGCCCTGCTTCCCCCCCTCCCCTTGCCTGCTTCCCCCCATCCCCTTCCCTGCTTCCCCCCATCAGATTCCCGCCTCGCCCCCATCCCCCTCCTTGCTCCCCCTCATCCCCCTCCCTGCTTCCCCTCATCCCCCTCCCTGCTTCCCCCCATCCCCTGCCCTGCTACCCCCCATCCCCTTCCCTGCTTCCCCCCATGTCCCCTGCGCTGCTTCCCCCCATCCCCTGCCCTGATTCCCCCCCTCCCCTTCTCTGCTTCCCCCCATCCCCTTTCCTGCTTCCCCCCATGCCCTGCCCTGCTTCCCCCCATGTCCCCTGCGCTGCTTCCCCCCATCCCCTGCCCTGCTTCCCCCCCTCCCCTTGCCTGCTTCCCCCCATCCCCTTACCTGCTTCCCTCCATCCCCTTCCCTGCTTCCCCCCATCAGATTCCCGCCTCGCCCCCATCCCCCTCCCTGCTCCCCCTCATCCCCCTCCTTGCTTCCCCCCATCCCCTGCCCTGCTTCCCCCCATGTCCCCTGCGCTGCTTCCCCTCATCCCCTGCCCTGCTTCCCCCCCTCCCCTTGCCTGCTTCCCCCCATCCCCTTCCCTGCTTCCCCCCATCAGATTCCCGCCTCGCCCCCATCCCCCTCCCTGCTCCCCCTCATCCCCCTGCCCTGCTTCCCCCCCTCCCCTTCCCTGCTTCCCGCCATCTCCTTCCCGGCTTCCCCCCCTCCCCTTCCCTGCTTCCCCCCATCCCCTTACCACCTTCCCCTTGTCCCCTGCCCTGCTTCCCCCCCTCCCCTGCCCTGATTCCCCTCCTCCCCTTCACTGCTTCCCCCCATCCCCTTTCCTGCTTCCCCTCCATCCCCTGCCCTGCTTCCCCCCCTCCCCTTGCCTGCTCCCCCCCATCCCCTTCCCTGCTTCCCCCCATCAGATTCCCGCCTCGCCCCCATCCCCATCCTTGCTCCCCCTCATCCCCCTCCCTGCTTCCCCCCATCCCCTTCCCTGCTTCCCCCCAACCCCCTCCCTACGTCCCCCCATCCTCTTCGTTCTTTCCCCTTATCCCAAGCTCTGCTTCCCCCCATCCGGTTTTCTGCATCCCCCCCTCCCCCTCCCTGCTTCCCCATGTCCCCTTCCCACCTTTCCCACCAACTCAATCCCACAGCAACATGACAGCAATGCTTTTTCCCCGCACCCTCTCCACCACTCCAATCCGCAGGTGTGCGTTGCCCCTCAGCTCCACACCCTGGCAGCTTTGCACGTCCCAACATACGGCGCACACTCCGACGACGTGCCACTCCCAGGTGGGTTACACCCTCACACACCCCTTCCCGTTGTGTGTTGCCTGTAGCTAACTTCTTGTTGTGTCCCATCATGCAGTGAGCAAAACTTGTTGAAGCGTCGGCGTGGTCTTCTTGGCAGAGTGAATGAGCTGGTTGAAGTGGATGAGGCAGGTGTGGTGGTTGACAAGGGAGGTGCTAGCAGCCCCCACATGAGCAAGTGTCATGTGAACACGAGCCAGCCCTCACCCCCAAGCATCCGGCTTCCACAATGCGTTCGCCGCATGCACCAACCAACTCGACAGCCCCCTGTCAGGGTTCTCCCATTATACAGTTGGTCTTTGCCCCATTTTGCCCATGCCTTCCCTAAGCAGTATGAAGTGCTTGAACAGTGGGGTGCTAGCTCGTTGGGTCTGCCATTTGATAGCCAGGTGCAGCTGAGTACAGCAGGGCGGACGGTTGAAGCCCTGGTCCGTGTGTGTTGTGGTGCAAATACGAGTGAATCATGTGAATCATGCGATGGAGCCAAAGCACCACAGGTTCAGGTGTTACCTTGACTACTCAGACCTATTGAGCGATCGTCAACACGGCAAGGTCAAGCTACCATTTATAGTATATGTTGCTATCGGGTCTTTGTATCAGGAGAAGGGAGATGAGGGGTACCTAGAGTGTTGCGCGCACGATATCGAGTACTTCCTCCATGTTTGGAAAATCCCGGATGAGATTGATTTTGAGGCATCCTCTTGGGATGCCATGTCATCGTAGCCACATTGCGATGTTTTGAACTAAGGGCTTCGTGTATTTGTAAATCGGGACGGGTTCCTCGAGGCATAGTGTAGTGCGACCTTCTAGAATCACTTCTAGGGTTGATCATTAAACTCCCCTATTTCGCATGCCATGCTAACCAGGTGGAAATCTTACTGCACCTAATTGTTTGCAAATATGAAAGCACATGATTGGATTGTTGCCATAGGGGTGCAGCAAAATGTATAACTGCACTGCAACTAGGAGCATGACCATGTCACTAGGCATAGTACAGAAGCACCCACTCTTTCCCTGCAGGAAAGGTAGTCAACTAGACATGCCGTGGACCTAGATGTCATGCCCAGATGGAATGAGAGGGAGTGGAAGCATATAAACTCCGCATCCACCTGTACCTGAAACAGTCAGAGAAAGAGGGAGAATGTGATAGACGCTGAAGGTGCAACAACAAAAGGGTGATGATGGAATGGGAGGAAGCAGCAACGGGAGATGACAGAATAGAAAGAAAGAGGGGAGACGCGGGGAGACTGCAGGGTACAGGGGGGAAACTGCATGGGGCAGGGGGGAACGTTTGTTTCCCAAGTGGGAAACAGTAGGGTGGGCGGGGGGGAACTGCGGTGTGCAGGGGGGAAACTGCAGGGAGCAGGGGGGTAAATAAAGGGAGCACGGGGGGCACGGAAGAGAGCAGGGGGGAAAATGAAAAGTGGAGGGGGGTAACTGAAGGGAGCAGGGGGGGAACTGGGGGGCGCAGGGGGAACAATGAAGAGAACGGGATGGCCCACTCACCGCTCTAGCGTGCACACTCAGCGCACTAGGTTGAACACTCACCGCTCTAGCGTGCCCACTGACCCCTCTAGCTTGCACACTCACCGCTCTAGCTTGCCCAATCACCACTCTAGCTTGCCCACCCACCGCTCTATCGTGCCCACGCACCACTCTAGCTTGAACACTCACCGCTCTAGCGTGCACACTAACCGCTCTAGCGTGCCCACCCACCGCTCTATCGTGCCCACGCACCACTCTAGCTTGAACACTCACCGATCTAGCGTGCCCACTAACCGCTCTAGCTTGCCCACTCACCGCTCTATCGTGCCCACGCACCACTCTAGCTTGCACACTCACCGCTCTAGCGTGCCCACTCACCGCTCTAGCTTGCCCACCCACCGCTCTAGTGTGCCCACGCACCACTCTAGCTTGCACACTCACCGCTCTAGCTTGCCCAATCACCGCTCTAGCGTGCCCACCCACCGCTCTATCGTGCCCACGCACCGCTCTAGCTTGCACACTCACCGCTCTAGCTTGCCCAATCACCGCTCTAGCGTGCCCACCCACCGCTCTATCGTGCCCACGCACCGCTCTAGCTTGCACACTCACCGCTCTAGCTTGCCCAATCACCGCTCTAGCGTGCCCACCCACCGCTCTATCGTGCCCACGCACCGCTCTAGCTTGCACACTCACCGCTCTAGCTTGCCCAATCACCGCTCTAGCGTGCCCACCCACCGCTCTATCGTGCCCACGCACCGCTCTAGCTTGCACACTCACCGCTCTAGCTTGCCCAATCACCGCTCTAGCGTGCCCACCCACCGCTCTATCGTGCCCACGCACCGCTCTAGCTTGCACACTCACCGCTCTAGCTTGCCCAATCACCGCTCTAGCGTGCCCACCCACCGCTCTATCGTGCCCGCGCACCGCTCTAGCTTGCACACTCACCGCTCTAGCTTGCCCAATCACCGCTCTAGCGTGCCCACCCACCGCTCCATCGTACCCGCGCACCGCTCTAGCTTGCCCACTCACCGCTCTAGCAGGGCCCAATCACCGCTCTTGCTTGCCCACTCACCGCTCTAGCTTGCCCACTCACCGCTCTAGCGTGCCCACACACCACTCTACATTGCCCACTCACCGCTCTAGCTTGCACACTCACCGCTCTAGCTTGCCCACTCACCGCTCTAGCGTGCCCACTCACCGCTCTTGCTTGCCCACGCACCACTCTAGGTTGCCCACTCTAAGTGAGATGGGAAATGATAAGTAAGGGGAGGGAGGTGCAAGGAAGGGTATGGTAGGGATGAGAAGAAGAAGGAATAGGAGGGAAGAGTCATGGTGCAAACGTACCACGAAGAGTTGTGAAGCTTTTGAAGCTCCATAACAACATTAAGGCCCGAGGTCATGAGAGTAGTCCCGGTAACTGAAGAGGGAAAAGCCATGTGAACTGAAGGATAGGTTGGTTTCATAGTACACGTTGAGAAAGCAGGCTCAAAGAATAAGTGCTTACCGAACAGGGACTTTGCGAGCACGTTTAAATAGAGCACGGACATCACCAAGAAAACGCTCATCCACGTCCGCGACTAGATGAGTCGTCTGTGAATGGGACGGGTACAACACAGGGACTACAATTTAGTGGAATGACATGTTAAACATGAATAAAAAACTATAACTTATGGTACCTCTAGCTCTTTATAAGAACCACCAACCTAGAGATAAGGGACACCGAACCCATCCTCGGCATCTTCTGGGAACTGTGCGTCGTCTCATACGTGCCAACGAATCTGGACATGCGGGCACGCCCGGACTAGTGAAGACAAATGAGCCGGAAGGGGGGGTTGCTGGTGACAATGGGGAGAGGAAATGTGGGCGAAACAACCCTCGCGTAGGTGTGGACAATTCGCGAACCGATGATGTGCCAATATGCGGGCCACCACCTAAAAACGCCGATCCCAATTCTGCACCTTCGCCATCACCGTTGGTGCCTGGTGTGCCCACCCCACGTGTCGCAAACCCACCACTAGCCCCTCCCCCTGCCAACGACACCGCTTCTTCAACCCGCAACCCGCCATCGGCGCTCCCGCCCGCACTGTGAACCCTCACCTCATCCTCTATTGGACCCTCCTCCCTCCCTCCACTTCCACCACCAACCCCTCATCCTCGTACTCCTCCACCTCCTCCTCCACCTCCTCCTCTTCCTCCTCGTGTGCATTCGCTTCCTCTACCACTACCCCTTGGCCACAATTGGGATCAATCCCCCTCTCCCCTTCTCTTATGTCGAACCATCGGTCCATTACCGCATCCACCCAACTCCAATCCATTGCCCCTAATAACCTGTCCTTTTTTCCCCGCCTCACCCGTGTTGTTTTGCGCACACGAATACGCCACTCTTTCACAACCCTCTCCACCGTGTGGTTCCAATGGAGCACCGTCAATGCCACCCGCGCCTCCATGCTGCCGAGAAAGGCCACGCGCTTCGGCGCGTACTTTGTGATCAATGAGTGGAACGATTCATTGACCCAATTGCTGGCCCCTGTTACGTATGCCGCCATTGGACCAGGCCCACAATTCTTTGATAGCCACTCTTTGAAGGCAACATGCGTCTCCGAACCCGGCTCATACAATGCAATTTCCGCACCCCATCCTTCGGTGACGCATCGCGGTGTTTCGCCATCCCGCGCGCAACACGTGTGTAAGCCTGCCCAATGATCCGCACACAAAGCCATCTCATTCGCCACCTCCTGGGGGGTCATCGGATGCCCTGCTTCTGCTTTAGTGGCAGAACGTAGCATCACATGGTGGAAGTGAATGCCAAGACGCTGGACCACCGCCACTTCCTCCACGCTGTTCTCGGTGTCACCTTCAATGCAGCCCCCGTCTCCCCGTGCACGTTTCTTACCCCTTCTCTCATGCCATCTTTTCTCACGTCCCTCCGTCCCATTCCCCAATGCCCCATCCTACTGTATGTCCCCCCCCCTCTGCCGGCTCTCCTGTTTGCTGCCCTGGCGCCACAACTCCACCCGAGCAATCTTCCCCTGTTTGAGGGATACTGTATGTAAAAAAAAATGTTTCACACAATCAATTTGCAATAAGCGTTGATTTTGGAAGTTATGCGGTCTGCACTTACCCGGCAAGCATCCGTCCATCTCGTCGATGTCAACCGTCGGGACCTCGATGCTCAGTAGAGTTTCGGTCGTCTCTCGGATGTATTCGTTACAAATGCCCGCCCGTACGGCATGTGTGGGGTGCGGATCGAAGTCAAAAAGAGTATCAACATCACCCCACTTGATCCCCAGCACCTGAGCAGGGTCATCTGTTTGACCATTGCCTTCGCTCTCTTCTAGACATCCCGCCTCAGTTTGCACATCGACAATCCCTCCAATCCCATCCCCCTCCTCAGTAGCTGATCCGACTGCCCCATCCTCCTCCGCTACCCGTCGCCGCTTGGTCGGCGGTTGTACCCCCTTTGTCCTAACTCTAAGTACCTTTCGCATCTCCTCGAACGCCCACTTCGCCGGTGCCTTTGCCTTTGCGTCAAACTTGATCGTTTTCAACTTCAAGCAAACAGCTCTGATTATTGTTTTCTTCGCTGAACCAGCCGTCATCCCACCAAGATCTCCTCCTGTCATAGTCAACCATTCCCACAGCTCCTCCCGCGGTACCAACCACAAATCGGAACAGGTTTTGGCATGAGACACCTTCATGGTACTGTGAGCCTCCATAAATTGCTTCACAAATAGTTTTGTAAGAGCGCGACATTTGTGCCAGACGTCCATCTGATGGTTAATTCATGTACCTTCCAACACTCTCTTGAACGATGCTCCATCGTCCGATAAAATGCCCGTAACATTGAACCCCCATTGCTGCAGCATCTCTAAGCCATGTTTGAAAGCCACCTCTTCCAACTTGGTGGATGATTCTCCGGTTCCTTTTTTGAAAATCGTCACACTCAACAATATTTTACGCGAGCGTGGATCCATGAATGTGACAGTGCACCACTGCGCCTCTCTAGCCTGTGACCAGCGGCCATCTACGCAAATGTACTCATCTCCCGCCTTTTGACGCAATTGCATATCTCGTCTGACGTTTGCCATGCACTCCTCACCGTGCACTATGATAGCCTCCCACAACCCAAATGGACGTCTCATGTAACGATAAAATGTCTCCTTCCCGATTGATTGGATACCTAGCGTTCTGCTAACCTCTGACATCTGTTGGAAACCTAGTCCCGCCATAACGAATGCGCCCAAGAACCGGGGGAGTAAGAAAGACGTTTTGGGACCCTGCTTGTTAGGACTCCTTGTGACTTTACCACGCCTAGTAGACCAAAAATCCAAGGCTTTCTTGCAAGTACTACATACCCACAATACCCTGAACGTAGCCCATATCAACTTGCATGAACGCAGCTGCATCAATCCCTTGCATGCAGCTCGTTGACAGCGGATTGCTCCAAGACTCATGAAAAACTGGAGCAGCACAATAGGGTCCAACAGACATACCGCTCCTTTGAGGGTGGATACGGCTGCATCTGGGGACAACCGCCAACTCTTTGCCAGTTTCCTCGGGAGAGTTGAGACATGGTTTTCTGAAGTCGGGCTTTGGGAGGGCAAGAACGTAAAAGGGACAAAGGGTACTCAACAATTAATGTTGGCACCATGAGCAGTTATAAAGGCCCGTCATATCCCACATTGCCAAAACCCTCTCACCCGCCCTCTCACCAGCCCCCCTCTCACCCGCCCACTCACCATAAGGCCCACCATATCACTCACCATCCCACTCAACCACCGACTGACCAGGCCACACACAAGCAGCCCATGTACAATCAGCCCACACACAACCAGCCCCCGCACAACCGACCCACTGACTGCCTTGATGCGCAGACAAGTATATGCCATCACACCTACGTACCCGTCAAGCGGAGTTGGGACTGTCGCAGGCGGCACAGATGCAGTTGTTTGGCCAGTGCCACTAGTACCCCCCCCCCCCCCCCCCCCCCCCCCCCATCTGCCCTCCCCTCCGATGCCCTCACTTAGTTCCACAATCAATGGGCTACCCTCCTGCGTTGATTCCTGGACATGCCCCGGGTCTGGGCCACCTGCTTGGCGCAGCCCCACACCCTCATCGAGCCCCACTCCCACTGCAGCCCCACTCCCGCCTCCCTCCAGGCCCTCAGCCTCTCCTACGAAATCCTCCACGACCTGTGTAGCTCCTTGCGCATCTTCTGAACCAGCTATCTGCGTATCTGCCCCCTCGGTAACTGCAGCTTCTCCTCTAGCACGCCTCCTGTTGTGCCCTGGGTAGGCAAAGTGGCGTATAGAGGATTCCAAATGGAGGAGAATGCGCATGGATATCCACGTGTGTTTGTCTAGATGTCGGTCTTTTCCAAGGTCCTCACTGGATGATAATTGAATAATGCAGCATGCGCGATGCGAAATGTCGTGTATGCATCTATTACGGCCCCTATATGTGACGTAGATGTTTGAACCTGGTGAAGTGCCAAATACCAAATGCGTTTACATGGTGTTGCATACCAGCATCACGCAATGCTCGAAATGCGGGCCCACGGCGGTCTCCTCCATGGCCATGCCCGTCCTCCGGCACCACAATCCCATCTGCATTGCGCTTCCACTTGTCGAACTCGTACTCGTAACCGTTTGAAGAGATAGGCGCCCGTTCGAACAGGTGCTCCACCGATGCCATCCTCCCCTCTTGGCTCAACTGGAAACTTGTCCGTTGAGCATCCATGTGCAATTTGATCTGGTCCTTCACCGTCGCTTCATTCTTACCTGCCATACAAAACCAATATCGCATGGAGGAATGAGTAGGGGATCTTGGGAGAAGCGAGTACAACTTTTTTTTAGACAGAGAGGGGAGTGGATGCCGGTAGCGTGTGTAGCATGCTGTGCCAGAGATGAATTAGAGGCTAAGGTGTTGCCTTGTGTTAGACGTTTGGGCAAACGGGGGTTGGGGAAGGGGGGGAAAGTGCGGGGAGAAGAGGAAATAGTGTAGGGGGAGACAATGGGTTGGATTGGGGTTCACTGACCACGAAAGGGTGGGGATGTTATGGATGGTACCGTGGGCACAAACTCACATGAATTTGTTGCTGCATCAAAGAGTTTGTTGACGACGTCGGGTGATGAAGTTACCAGTATGTGCATCAGATCATTGAAAGACGCCTCTCTTCCCAACAGCGCGGTTAAACCGCACCGCATGATGACAACAGGCAGGGTCATGTGTTTGTTGACTGACAACATCTTCTGTGGATCCTTATCCATAATATTCTTCAGGTGTTTCTTCAAATCGTCGCTCGCACTGTTGCTGCTGCTAGCCATGCTTGAGGTTGTGCAACCAAGGTCCTGGGAGGGCACTCGATGGTATGTGATGCCGCAGATGGGGAGTCAGCAGGAAGTTTCAGGGTTTGGGGCATGGGGAGAGGGAGTAGCGGCGGGTACTTAGTCTAGAAGAGGCATTCCACGTACCCGCCTGCAGAGTGTGCCACGAGCGTCATATGGGAGCCACCTCGAAAGGGAGGGTGAGCTGAGGAGAGAGGGGGGAGGGTGCACGGGGAGCGGGACCTGCGGGATTGGGGTGATAGGTAGAGAAGGGGGGGAGTGCGGCAGTCAGGCAGAGGTGCACCTCCCACCTGCTGAGTGCGCCACCAGACCACACCTGGGGGCCGCATGCGGGGGATAGGCGGGGGAAGCGGGGTTGGGGTGATAGGATGAGAAGGGGGATCTAGCGGGGCAGTCAGGCAGAGGCGCGCCTCCCACCTGCTGAGTGCGGCACCAGACCTGCCCTGAGATGCGCATGCGGGGGAAGATGGGGGGAAGCGGGATTGGGGTGATAGGAAGAGAAGGGGGGGAGTGCGGCAGTCAGGTAGAGGCGCACCTCCCGCCTGCTGAGTGCGCCACCAGACCACACCTGGGGGCCGCATGCGGGGGATAGGCGGGGGAAGCGGGGTTGGGGTGATAGGAAGAGAAGGGGGATCTAGCGGGGCACTCAGGCAGAGGCGCGCCTCCCACCTGCTGAGTGCGGCACCAGACCTACCCTGGGTGGCGCATGCGGGGGAAGATGGGGGGAAGCGGGATTGGGGTGATAGGAAGAGAAGGGGGGGAGTGCGGCAAACAGGCAAAGGCGCGCCTCCCGACTGCTGAGTGCGCCACCAGACCACACCCGGGGGCCGCATGCGGGGGATAGGCGGGGGAAGCGGGGTTGGGGTGACAGGAAGAGAAGGGGGATCTAGCGGGGCAGTCAGGCAGAGGCGCGCCTCCCACCTGCTGAGTGCGGCACCAGACCTGCCCTGGGTGGCGCATGCGAGGGAAGATGGGGGAAAGCGGGATTGGGGTGATAGGAAGAGAAGGGGGGGAGTGCGGCAGACAGGCAAAGGCGCGCCTCCCGACTGCTGAGTGCGCCACCAGACCACACCCGGGGGCCGCATGCGGGGGATAGGCGGGGGGAGAGGGGTTGGGGTGACAGGAAGAGAAGGGGGATCTAGCGGGGCAGTCAGGCAGAGGCGCGCCTCCCACCTGCTGAGTGCGGCACCAGACCTGCCCTGGGTGGTGCATGCGGTGGAGGATGGGGGGAAGCGGGATTGGGATGATAGGAAGAGAAGGGGGGGAGTGCGGCAGACAGGCAAAGGCGCGCCTCCCGCCTGCTGAGTGCGCCACCAGACCACACCTGGGGGCCGCATGCGGGGGATAGGCGGGGGGAGAGGGGTTTAGGTGACAGGAAGAGAAGGGGGATCTAGCGGGGCAGTCAGGCAGAGGCGCGCCTCCCACCTGAGTGAGTGCGGCACCAGACCTGCCCTGGGTGGTGCATGCAGGGGAAGATGGGGGGAAGCGGGATTGGGGTGATAGGAAGAGAAGGGGGGGAGTGCGGCAGACAGGTAAAGGCGCGCCTCCCGCCTGCTGAGTGCGCCACCAGACCACACCTGGGGGCCGCATGCAGGGGATAGGCGGGGGGAGAGGGGTTGTGGTGACAGGAAGAGAAGGGGGATCTAGCGGGGCAGTCAGGCAGGGGTTGGGGTGATAGGAAGAGAAGGGGGGGAGCGCCGCAAACAGGGGGAGGCGCGCCTCCCGCCTGCTGAGTGCGCCACCAGACCACACCTGGGAGGCGCATGCGGGGGAAGATGGGGGGAAGCGGGATTGGGGTGATAGGAAGAGAAGGGGGGGAGCGCGGCAGTCAGGCAGAGGCGCGCCTCCCGCCTGCTGAGTGCGCCACCAGACCACACCTGGGAGGAGCATGCGGGGGAAGATGGGGGGAAGCAGGATTGGGGTGAACGGAAGAGAAGGGGGGGAGCGCGGCAGTCAGGCAGACGCGCGCCTCCCGCCTGCTGATGGCGCCACCAGTCATGCCCTGGGAGTTGCATGCACGGGAAGTGCGGGGGGAGAGGAGGAGCCGACGTGATAGGGTGAGCAGGGGGGTAGCGGGGCAGTCAGGCAGAGGCGCGCCTCCCGCCTGCTTTGCCCCAGTCGGCGGTGTCATGGCTGCTGCGCACTTCACGCGTTGAGGCGGGGCACGAAATTTACTGGTGCAAGATTACAGCCTCGCCCCCAATGCGAGCTGCGGAACGACGCCGCGTTTTATTGGGGCTACGTGCTAAACAATCGCATGAGCCAGCAATGAGGCTATTCGCGCTTTGGCTGCTCTTCTCAAGACGTCCAATGATTTGCCCTATACCAGAAGCAACCCTAAACAGATCGAGAGCTTTGATTGTGCCGTGGCATTTGACTGACGCGGTCGATATCTTTGTTTTTGCGGAGCTACCATAATTAGCAGCTCGTGCTCACCGTCCTGACGAGTAGCACACACTCGTAGATGGTGGCGAAGGAAAATGCCTCGCGTCGCCTCGTCGAGTTCCTAACCGTAAAGCTTTATGGTGGTCGGTCCGCACGTTACGGATATGGTCCGTTAGCACTCGCCGCGCATGAGCTTCAATGCTGTTTCTCGCTCTAAATGTTGGTGATACGACGGTCCTGTTGGTGGCGGCATTGCTGCGCCATATTATAGGGTCGCGTGGACGTTTTCTGCTGTCTATATCTAGTATAATATGCTTGTTAGGCTGCGTGAGTGCCTCCGCTTGTTTGCTGTTCGAAACTGCGTCTCTAATTTCCTCGAGCTGTTGTAATATGTTTGTTCCCCCTGGTGCTGGAAAATCGCACAGGGTGGTTGTGTCGCACGATCGAATCATGCACTTAGCATTTTGGGTCGTCATGTGCATTTCCACACCTTGGGGTGGTGCACGTTCAATTGCTGGGGCTGGCACATACGACAACCTTTTCCTCTCGAGTCTCTTTCCCAACCTGACCCCAAACCTGTGCCCACCAACAGTGGTCGTTGGACGACCTAAAACTGGTTACCCGATTTCAACCATATTACACTTTGTTGGGGGGGCGGAAATATGAGACGCGGGCTTTAAAATTCCATGGCAGCATACCCCCTAGTGCGCCAAAATTGATAACTCAAGAAATACATCATCTTTTTGTACGATTCAACTTGGAAACTGTAGCGACAAACTAGAGCTACAACATAATGAAATTCGTGAAGTTTTGACAGTGCGTTTCTTGTCGATGGCGTTTCTTGTGAACTCGACTTTTCTGTCCAGAAATTGAGACCAACGATTTTGAGAAACTAGGCCCATAATCTTTATAGACTCCGTCCTTAGTGTTTAACAAGTGGTATTAGAGCTAATTAAGGACTTTGTGGAGAGTCTACTGAAGTTTGAAGACCCTCCTAGACCCACCATGGCCTGTGGGCGTGCCTAAGTGGAGTTCTGGAGGTTGGATGTAACTTCCGCTAAGGGGAAACTCTGCCGAAATTTCGTTGGCGCCGACACTTGTGAAGATTGTGTGGATCCACATTGTGACCAGCAAAGGGGGGAGCTGAAACCTCTGATTGGGAGCAGTGGAGATGAATCAAGGGAGTGGAGAAACAGCTGAGAAAAAGAGTGAGCCCGCCACCATCCAAGTTTGAGGCATTGGATGGCTCCAACTATGAGGAATGGAGTGGGCGGATGAGGAGCGCCTTCAAGCGCTACTGTTAGAATGAGAGAAGTGATTGCACTATGAGAGTTGGAGTACAAATAGCAAACCCTAACTTTGTGTACCCCATAAAGGCTAACCCACTATAGCCTACACAATGACAACACATATAATGTTTGACACACCCCCATAGGCAAAGTGGGGAAGAACAAGGGGTCAGAAGACCAGTTAAGAAAGTCAAGCAAGCTCAGGGTGGATCACAACGTCACCACACAATCTGAGCACAAGCAAAGGGCCACAAGGCCAGTTCACATGCAGAGGTATATATATAAGTAGTACAGACAACAAGGGTGATCTCAACCTAGCAGAGCAAACAGGCAGGAGTATATATAGAGATCACAGTACAGGTAAAGCCTACAACAAGTGAGACAAAGTGGGCACTAGCCCCAACAAAGTACAGAAGCGCTGATGATCACCAGGCTGAAGCGCCTTGGTGAAAACATCAGCGGTGTTGGCATGAGAGGCCACGTAGCGCAGACAAAGCTGACCATGCTGCTGAAGCTCACGAGCAAGGAAGTAACGGAGAGCGATGTCCTTCGTTCTGTGCTCCAGTCTGTGCTCCCGACACAAGGCAACGGTCGCCTTGTTGTCGAGGTACAGCACTGGAGGAGAACTAGGCTGCTCTCCAAGGTCAGTTAGCAGGTAGGTGAGCCAGCGTAACTACTGTGCAGCCATGGCTGTGGCGTAGATCTCAGCCTCACAACTGGAGCTGACAACAGAAGAAGAACGAGTAGAGCGCTACGAAACTGAACCAGAGCCAAGGCTGAAGGTGTAACCCTATGACGACCGCTGAGTAGCCTGGTCGTCAGCCCAAGAAACGTTTGAGTGCCACGTGAGAACAACTGAGCTCCCTCCTCCAAGCACGAGCCCCATGCATGATGTATTCCACAAGTAGCGTGATACCCTCTTTGCAGCATCCCAGTGCACCTTTTGGTGACGACCAAGAGCCACGTACCGAGCCAGAAGGCTACGAGGGTATGCTAGGTCAGGACGAGTGCAAGTCATCAGGTACATGAGGCAACCAACCAACTCTGGGTAAGAACCACTCGACTCTAAGGACTCATCCGAAGGCAGAGCTGAGAGCGAGTGACCTATAGCCAGAGGAGTGGCCTGTGCTGAGGACCAGGTGAAGCCGAAGCGCTGAAGAACCTGCTTCACCATGTGTGACTGAGTCAGGGTAATGGTGCGGCGTGCTCTGTCCCGGGTGATCTGCAAGCCAAGGTAGCTGCGCAGTTCACCAAGGTATGTGCACGTGTGTCTCTTCTGCAGCTCCGACTTCACGTGGGCGAGAGACTCAGTGTCAGCTGTGGCAAAGACCAAGTCGTCGACGTACACGAGGATGTAGAACGGTGGCAGCAAAGTGTCGGTGCGTAGAAACAGCGACGTGTCAGCAGTAGAACGAGAGAACCCAAGTGCCGCAAGAGTAGTCCTCAGTGTGTCGTGCCACTCACGTGGTGCCTGGCAGAGACCGTAGACTGGCCGACGGAGGCTCCACTGGGTACCAGGAAGGAACGACCCAGAAAAACCAGGAGGGCGGCGTAGCCAGATCTCCTCGTGCAGACTGCCCTGCAAGAAAGCTGTGTTGAATTCAAGAGAGTGAAGATCGTAGTCACGCTGAGCAGCGCCGTGCAGCAGAACCCGAAGAGTGGTCATCTTCGGGGTCGGATAGAAGGTCTCGAAGAAGTCAACTCGCTCTCGCTGACTAAAGCCTCGAGCAACGTAGCGCGCCTTGAAGACAGGCGGAGAACCCGGCGGCCGATTCACCCTGAAAATCCACATCCCACTGACGATGTTCGCCCCAGGTGGGGGAACCTCGTCGACGTAGGTGCCTGTGGACTTCCAGGAAGCCATCTCTGCGTCCATGGCTGACTGCCACTGAGAGGAGTAGGGACCCTCGATCGCCTCAGAGTACGATCGAGGAGTCGGGATGTCTGGTGCATCCGGGTCTCCCTCAGGGGCAACTAGCATGGACACGAGATGGGGCGCGGCGGCTGGAAGACACTCAAGGTCCTCCTGTCTGTCCTCAAGGACGTCCGTGCTAAGAGACGCTCACCCCTGACGGACGGAGGACAGACAGACTCAGACTCAGCGACAAGACTGGCAGCGTAGTCTAGAGGACAGCGAGCAGCAAAGTCGACAAGCTCAGCAACTAGGGCAGATGCAGCAGCAGACTCAAAAGAAGGGTCAGTGACAGCAGTAGCAAGGAGACGTGTAACAATAGGACTGGCACCACGAAGAGAGACAGACAAAGGGTCAGCAAGAGCAGGAAGAGAGGACTCAGGAGGAGACGGCAGAGGGACACGCTGTGGAGCAGTGGAGGGACGCAGTGACATCCGGTGTGTGCCAGGAACTGGTGGCGGACGCTCACGCGGAGGACGGCGACTGGCAGAAGTAGTACGAACAGGCGACTCAGGACGGGACACAGGCGACACAGGGCGAGACTCAGGCTGACGACGCTCTGTGAGACTGCCTGTAGGACCAGTGTAGGGAGAAGGGCGAAGAAGTGGCGAGGCAGGTGGTAGCTGTGACTGCGACTGGACCGGCGGTGGACACTCTACAGAGGGAGGGGGACAAGGCAGAGGTGACTGACCAAGAACCTGCTGAAGGAGTGGGACAAAGTACGGCCACGGCCGTGAGGTGCCCCCTGCAGCAGCAAGGACAGCACCAGAACCTCGAGCAGCTCCAGCAGCACCCCCAGCACCTCCAACGCCCGGGTCTGCAGCACTAGTAGTAGCTCCAACGCCCGGGTCTGCAGCACCAGTAGTAGCTCCAACGCCCGGGTCCGCAGCACCAGTAGCAGCTCCAACGTCCGGGTCCGCAGCACCAGTAGCAGCTCCAACGTCCGGGTCCGCAGCACCAGCAGCAGCTCCAACGCCCGGGTCCGCAGCACCAGCAGCAGCTCCAACATCCGGGTCCGCAGTACTTGCAGGAACTCCAACGTCCGGGTCCGCAGCACCAGCAGCAGCTCCAACGCCCGGGTTTGTAACACCAGCAGCAGAGTCCGCGATACTAGGAGCGCCACTACTGAGACTGCAGCGACGTGCGTACCACTCACGAAGACGCTGGGGAGAGGGCAGCTCCCGCGTAGGCGAGGAAGCACGAGCACCAGCTCCAGCAGTACCCCTAGCTCCAGAAGCACCTCTCCTGAGGGTGGAATACTGTAAGTACCACTCATGTAGCTAGTGTGAGGAGAGAGCTCCTCCAGGTGTGGCACTCCCAGGCTCAGCACCCCCAGACTCAGCACCCCCAGACTCAGTACAAGCAGGCTCCGCACTCCCAGGCTCAACACCCCCAGGCTCAGTACCCCCAGACTCAGTACCCCCAGACTCTGCACCCCTAGGCTCAGCAACCCCAGGCTCCGCACGCTCAGGCTCAGCACCCCGAGCAGGACGCGATTCAACTCCTACCTTGACAGGCTCAACCGGGTCTACCTAGGACACACCT